CAAACATCCAGAGAACCAGAGAACCAAACATTCAGAGAACCAAACATCCAAACATTCAGAGAACCAAACATCCAAACATTCAGAGAACCAAACATCCAAACATTCAGAGAACCAAACATCTAGAGAACCAAACATCCAAACATTCAGAGAACCAAACATCCAAACATTCAGAGAACCAAACATCCAAACATCCAGAGAACCAAACATCCAGAGAACCAAACATCCAGAGAACCAAACATACAGAGAACCAAACATACAGAGAACCAAACATCCAGAGATCCAAACATCCAGAGAACCAAACATTCAGAGAACCAAACATTCAGAGAACCAAACATTCAGAGAACCAAACATTCAGGGAACCAAACATCCAGAGAACCAAACATCCAGAGAACCAAACATCCAGAGAACCAAACATTCAGAGAACCAAACATCCAGAGAACCAAACATTCAGGGAACCAAACATTCAGGGAACCAAACATCCAGAGAACCAAACATTCAGAGAACCAAAACATCCAGAGAACCAAACATCCAGAGATCCAAACATCCAGAGAACCAAACATTCAGAGAACCAAACATTCAGGGAACCAAACATCCAGAGAACCAAACATTCAGAGAACCAAAACATCCAGAGAACCAAACATCCAGAGATCCAAACATCCGGCTCCTCCAGAGAAGCTCAAACTAACATTTTTACCTCACGACTTCACTTTGACTCATAAACAGTGTCATAAACATTCCTTCAGTTCTGTCGGGAGCCAGTCACTCTAATGCCCTCTGTGCAGAAAAGAAGCTAAAGTTTTAGCTCAGATGTAATTTATGTGCAGTGGTCACCAAAGACAGGGTCGGCCCCCCAATGTGGGCCAGGAAAGACCAAGTGGGAGGACCTTAGAAAATCTGCAACACAACACGTAAAAAAAATTAAACTTTTCCTGACGTATGTCATATAACTATTACAAAATATAAAAAGCAGTCAAATGAACAGTGTTGATGCCACTACAGCACGATAGCTTAGCGGTTAGCACTGTTGGCTCACAGCAAGAAGGTCCTGGGTTCAAGCCCAAGGTTGGGCCTGAGYTCCCTWTGTCCCTTTGAGGAGAAGCACCTTTGGTCAGTCAGTTTGGTCTGTGAGAGGTGCTCGGGAATGGAACTCACTACCAGATGAAATTAGACAGCTATCAACCTATAGGTCTTTCACTAAGCATCTCAAAAAATGGCTTGTTGATTCTTACATCTGCCAACACTAAATATAAGCTGTATTTAATGTGTTYTATTGTTTTTTATGAACAATTTYATTTCCTCCTTTTATTTTTTGTGTGTGATTACTGTATTTTATTCTTGTATCATATACTGCTTTTTAACATCATGGCCAGGGGACTACGGATGAAAAATAGCCGTTTGGCTAATTATGGCTTTTTTAACTTATGAATTGTCATATGTTTTATTAAATTGCACTATCCCCCCTTTTAATTAAATAAATAAAAAAAAGGTCTGACCAAAACAGCAAACTCTGCATGAAGTAACTTTAGTCTGAAACTCTGGCAGCGGGTCACATGCAGTCACCATCATTATGTGAGTCAGAAGCTAAAAGGTTTGATTTAAAAAAGATTTAAAAAAATACATTCTTAGTATATAAATGCATCAAATCAATGAGCCCATCAAATATTATTAGACTGGGAGAAGTAAACGAATAAAAAAATTAAGTCAGGTCAGATAAAGTTTGTCATCTTATTTGGACTTTTGAGTAAAACAGTAATTTTCTCAACTTTTCTGCTTCTGATCATCAAAAATGACAGAAGCAGAAACTTGAAACCAGCTTTCATGGCACCCCAAACAACATTTAAGATTTTATTAATATTGTTTTAAGGAAAATTGCAATCAAAGAGCACATTTAACAGTTTTAAGGCTCGTTATCGGATGCGTCATTACGCACGTGAGGACAATTGGGGAGTTTCTATCCTAAATATTTCAGCCTATGAAACTGAAATCCCCCTTTAAACGACACATGACGGTGAAACCTTGAGCAGCATCCCTGTTTGGGACGTCCCGTCAGACTGCAGAAGCAGCCAGACTGACAAAGACCCGGGCGTGAGACGGTTCTGGATCACTTTTTGACGCGTCTAAAGAATAAAAACAAAAACAGCTGAAACAGCTGGTTTCAAGTCAGTGCGTGTGTGCGTGTGTGTGTGTGTGTGTGTGTGTGTGTGTGTGTGTGTGTACACAGTGGCTGAGTAAACTRGAGTTTAGTTAAGCCTCTTAGGAAATCACGCTCTCTGACCAGCAGCACGTCGCCGCGCTTCTCCAGGGCGCGTTTTTCGCACAAAACTAACGGGACCAGAACCGGGTACTTACATGGTTCTCGGAGAAGGGGGGTATTCCAACAAGGCAAAAGGCAACTCCATTCATTGGGGAGCAGAAAAGTGTTTGACTGCAGCAAAAAAGGAGGAGAAGAAGAGGTAGAAGAAGAAACGGGTTCGTTTTTGCGCAGAGCCGAAGATAAAAAGAAGTGATTCGGTCCAACTCGAGCTTTTATCGARACTTTTCCTGCTTCCTTCCTTCAAAAGAAAGAGAAAAATAAATTCCAAGTATGTTTCCGTTGTTTCGGGACGTCCAATGCTCTTCCCCCCAACCTCCTCCTCCTCCTCCTCCTCCTCCTCTTCTTCTTCTTCTTCTTCCGCCAGACTGCAGCAGCTCCAAATCCTCTGTTGAGCGCAGCTGCGTCAGAGCGCGCAGGACGCAGGAAAAGAGGAGAGCCGCCCTTCAAAGTAAAGTTCAGGAGGAAAGAAGGGTGTCAAAATAAAACGATGAAAGTTGTAATGTTTCAAATAAAAACGCGTTTTTTTTCCCATCAGCGTTTAGTTCGGATTAGAGCCTCTAACTGGTGAAAAACTGTGTGAATTTGGACTTTGATTTTGCAAATCCACAATTTGAAGTCACTTTAAATGCTTTTGTGGGCATGTTTTCCCGGAAGCTGTGTGCTCAGTGAAGAATATTGACAACAAACGGGATGAMGGGCGAGTTTGGATAAAGCTGCGCTCCGCCCAGAACTCCCGCAGCGCGCGGGCTCCCTCTGGCTGCGCAGGACCCGGTGCCATGAGGCGCAAACCAGCGGGAAACAAGCTTGTTTATCACCCCCCAGTTTATTCAAGAAACTATGATTTAAAACAAGGTTTGAATTTAGCTCTATTTACCTTTATTTAGTTTTATTACAGTGAACCTAACATCTCAAACTGATGCCCAATCCAGATTTATTTCCACACATGAAACAGGATGCATCACAACACAAATCTCTGTGATTCACAATAAACAGATGGATACAATAAAAAAGGGGCTGAACAATGAATCCCAGAAGTTTAAAAAAAATTAAATTAGGTAAAGTTCTCGGAAACATAATGAAAAGGTTTGTATTTTTAGCTGCTTTGGCCACAAATAAATGCCGTCCATGAATCACATCAGGAAGCTTTACTCATCAGCCGAACAGGAACTCCATTCTGCTGCCAAGAATAAGCATTACAACATGATATATGTAATCTCCATGGCTGAGAGTGAGCTGGAACTGATAGAAATGAGACAAGGTTCAAAGCTGGAGGCCCAGACAGATACTGGAGGAAGAGRCACTTCAAACAGGCCCGAGGAGAGCGGGGGAAGGAGCTTACGGCAAAATTTCTCACGCCAAGAACTGCAGCTGCCGACTCAGCGTTTCTTCTGAGTCGGCTCACTCTTCATCAAAGCCTCCGATGAAGGTTTACAGGGAGAAACCGCTCAAAGACGTGAGGTTAGACCTTGACATGTCTCCTCTTTGAAGCAGATAAACYTATCCAGCTTCCATCTGTGGTCGGGTCGCGGAGGCAGCAGGTCCAGGAGAGAAACAAAGACATCACTCTCTGCGATGCTCTCCTGCTCATCCTGGGGGATTCTAAGGTATCTGTGGATCTCTCCTCATCTGGAAACCCAGAAAAAACACTTCATTCTGGTCTTAAACTGTGAGAGAGGAGAG